CACACGCCTTCATTTTCTTTGACTGATCCTAGTGTTTGAATGCATTACCCACACCGCTGGAACTTTATCGCTATGTACACGAGGAGTCAAAGTTGTAATTATTTTACTAATATCTTACATACCCTCGAACTCCTGCAGCTTTTGGTCATTATTATATTTGAGTGTTAGTATAAACGTATCAAAGTCAGATAGGCTGCTAGTAATCCAACCACAATGGTGACCCCGACGTGATCCGGCGACTTTCCGACCTGTCCCTGCGATAAGTCAGCCCCGAAAGTGATTGCTCGATTCGGGTAGCCGAGATTGGTCGAGGATCAGACAGCCAATGGTGCGCACACGGTAAATTAGCGGCGATTACGGGAGCTTACTACCGGCCCTGGTCGTTACAGAATTTGTCTTCTACCTCATCGGGCCCGATGATTGGATGACAGTTAGCGCTAGTGATAGTGACCACTTTCCGTCCGTAAGCTAACAAGCTCATGATAACGAGCCAATTATTGATTATCTCTGCTAGGTCGGATAGCATTGCACTTGACGTGGATTGTTCTATCAACTTTTATCGTTTATAAATTATGCTCTGGCGATCTACATTCAAAGAAGATATCCGCCGTTCTCCTACTCCTTTCTTTCCCTCTTTACAGAGGCCGGCCTCATTGGGCTTCCTTTTTAACAAACCATTTCCAGGACGATAAGACCTGTTCTTATTTGTGACCAGTTGCCCACTAGATTGTCCAAAGGAGAGCAAACATGTCAAGTTACCAGAGTGAGCTGAGTCACCATAGCAGACAGCGGGGAGGCAAGCAGATTGGAACGGAAGTGGCTGTTCTCCCATACACTCTTTCGACCGCGTATTTTGTGTCCGTAAGTCACGGCCGCCGACGGAATGTTTACTACCATTTTATAGTCCCTCACACGCAGGGCAATAAATAGTCCTCTCCTAAACAGGATTGCCTAGTCATTCTTTGAGGCGGTCGCAATCCAATGTGGGACAGTAATTTGTCTAGGTTGTCTACGGAATTGTTTGCTGCTCTCTTCGTATCGGATGGGGAAGTGAATGTGCATAGTTAAAACAGAATACCTGCTGTGGAACCACACATACGCCGGAAACCGTCATCTAGTCCTCTTTGGTAAGCCATGGCGGTTACAGGGACGTGAAAATCCTATTGACTACTACTTCATGGAGCAACAGATTAGAGTTTGGGGCGCAGGGTGAAACGAAGTAGAAGCGTCCACCATGCTTATGAGTGCATTTACTGTAGAGGGCCGGCAGATTACGCCCTTGCTATGACCGTAGTAGCGTATCACATAACCGCCCTGTTCATGCTAGGCAGTCTGCTAAAGGCTACCTTCGTCGGTGTATTGCCGTACAATGACCATCCAATTGCCATGACGAACAGCGGACCTGTAGAATGGGCTCCCACGACCTTCATTCGCTCATTCAGTCAACTGGGGACATAATCTAAATAACCGAATGTTTGCACACGATAATTAAAATGTCCCAATAGTGCCCAATTGGACACAATCGTCGACTATTTCATCTCCATATCGACTACAGATATGATATAGAGTCGCAAATGTTCGGGTATTTAAACAATTGTTCCTATTATTTTCTAATTTTATACGCTCTGCTTTTTGCTAAGTTGTTTCTCTCTTCTGATATGTCCCACCCATTTAACCTTTATCAGAAGAATGGGGTTTTGCGTGCTGGTTTAGAACCTAAATTGAACCTTTACCAAATTCCCTATGCTATTTAGTACGGCAAAGCCAACTCTTTTATTTTTGTGCGTCGTGCTAAGGGAGAACAGGCAAGGCTTAAAATATATCCGTTCCAGACCTGAAAATTTTAGTCTTAAATTGATGAAAATCAAGTGAGGGCAAGTTTAAAGAATCGCAATTTTTTTCAGAAACAAGAAAACATGTCAGTTTAAAAATTTATTTTTTGGCAATTTCTTAAGTTTTTCCTCTCTCTCAAAAAGCAGTAAGAAAATTTTTGACCGTATTGTTTGACCGCATCGGTAACAAAAAAATGCACAAACTATATCGCATGCGTAAAGGCAACAAAACAATATTATTAAATATAGGGCAGCATCATGTGACAATACAGGTTCTGCTAATGCACAATTAGAAACAGAACATCAGTACGAGGTACACTAAAACAAAAATGACCCTAGAAAACACCAAGCCAGCCAGCCAG